GATTGATGCCAGCGGTAGAACGAAGCATCTCCTGTAGCCATTGGTTTAAATTTTTCGCTGTCGTTGGCAGTTCCATTTTTAGTCTCGCCACCAGTATGGTCCCTTCTGTAAACCAATGTAGCCATGTCAGCATTTTTTTCAGCTGTGGCAAAGGATAGGGGACGAGTTCTCCTACGCTGAAGCTGCAGCCCGGTAGCCGTGGAAATGATTGTTGGCAATTTTAACATGTGATTATTAGAAACGAGTTGGCTCTTTTCGTCTCAGGCTGTATGGTTGAGGTGTACTTAGAAACATGTGCGGCAACCGCATAAATGGAGGGCCACGGCCGTTGAAATTTTGAGCCCCTCAGCGAGATCTTGGTGATGCCGTGCTTCCGCAGATGCAGCTGTAGTTGACAGTTCGAAGGCGAGACATAACGACAAAGGGGGAAAGTTGAAGGACCCTGGATAAGACGATTCCTAGGCGTCTTTGCTGACAGCTTGCGTTGCTCTGTTTCCAGCAGGCGAGTGTAATACTAACGTCTCAAAGGAGGGAATGAGGGGCAACGCAGCGACTTCTGTAGTTTTGTTTAGTGGTGTCGATTTGTCTGGATAAGGGATAAATCTGAAATCGGGGAGAGCGTCGAGGAAATAGTACTCTCTCTACTTGCGCAGGTACAATGACAACAGATCGTACTACTTACATGTGTAGTATTGGAATATGTCACGATAAACGAACTGTGTGTAGTTGACAAGGATGACATTTTCCTTTTAAGTCGCTTCAATGCTGTTGTTGTCGTTATTGATGAATTCACAGCCAGTTCAATATCCTCCAGTGTAGTCGTTAGCTGAGACCCAGATTGGATGTTCTCTTCGTCGTAACCCCCACTTTGGTTTTATATTCTAAGTGACCTTGTCCCAGGTAGGTAATCAGCGACACCTTTCGGCGTGCCCAGCGGGAAGCGTCCCACCAGGCACATACAGCACTCTCCTCCGACTTAATAAACAATAATCAAACAACAAAGCACTTTCACGAAAATACGTTCGCTTCAAATCCGACATAAAATCGCTTTGCGGGGCAAATGGCAACTTAATTTTCGATCCGTCAATCTTTAGCGGCTTTCAAGATATTTCGCTTTCTTCGTCTTGTCTCATAATTCCGGGGTACTGTGGGAAGACTAATTACTTGCCATTAAGAGAGAGTCGTAGTTACTGCTCTCGTTTATCCGCGCTTCATCGAATTTCTTCACCCTGACGTTCAGAGCGTTGGTCAGAAATCACATTTTGCCAATATCAGTCAACGACCGTCATCACAAAGTCCTGTTTCATCTAAAGTCAGAATGCACTTGTCTGTGCTAGTTCTAAGTTAAGCTTTGAACGCCGGATGCAACATGGAAAATACACGACATTTTCTTATCCCGCCGTCAGCTCATACAGTCTACGCATCAGTCACGCGTC